TTCGTCATCATCATCATCCTTGAGTATACCGGCGAATGTCCTGTGGATCATCATCAGCATCATCGCGACCTTGACCTTACTGGTGGTCGTCATAGCGATGACCTTGGTCTGCCGGCGAAGGAGGAAGATGATGATGATGAGGAGGGGGAAGGAGGATTCTAGAAGGAAGTTTGTGATGTGTGGATGGATGGATGAATGAATAGATAGATAGATAGATGGACAGATGAATGGATAGATGGATAGGTAGATGAATAGATAGATAGATAGATAGATGAATGGATAGATGGATAAATAGATAGATAGATAACTGTAGCCACAAACGCAACCACAACCACCACACCTGACAGCGGCTACCTGCCGGCAAACACCACCACCAACAACAACTTCAACGACCTCAAGCCAGAAGACATCGACAACAACAGCGCCGTTCACAGCAACAGTCTAGACAGCCATCATCTCCACCATCGTCATCTTTATCCTCATCAGCATCTTCATCATCAGCAGCAGCAGAGGAATAACATGAATAAACCGCCGCCTGATCTATGCACACACGGAAGGAGTTTTCTGGAGTTGAAAGGTTTATTATTATTATTATTGTTATTGTTATTATTTTTATTATTATTTTTGTTGTTGTTGTTATTTTTGTTGTTGCTGTTGTTGTTGGTGTTTATTATTGTTCACATACATACACACATACATACATACGTACGTACATTCATACATTCATTCATACATACATACATACATACATACATACATACATACATACATACATACATACATACATACAAAAAAAGGTTCAGAAAAAGATCCAGACGAATTGACCGAAATGATGTCACGACATACCTCATCAATTGATGAAGGTGATGATGAAGATGTTTGTGATGATGATGATGTTTGTGATGATGATGATAAGGATGATGATGTTGTTGTTGTTGTTCGTGATGATGATAATGATGTTGTTGTTGAAAACGATAGCGATGATGAAGATGACGAAGACGATGATGATGATGATAAATACAAATACACAGACGCACTTAGCGATACCGAGAGGCATAGGTACGCCAGCAACCACAACAATGTGTCTCGAAATAAGCTGTTAAGTGGCTGTGCTGTTGGCGCTCATGACTCGTCATCTGTGTCTATGAAAGAACGTATGTGTGTGTGTGTGTTTGTGTGTGAGTGTGTGTGTGAGTGTGTGTGTGTGTGTGTGTGTGTGTGTGAGAGAGAGAGAGAGAGAGAGAGAGAGAGAGAGAGAGAGAGAGAGAGTATGTTTGTATGTGAATCGATATATATTTGCATGAACGTTAAATATTGTATGCTTTTTGGTCAGTTTAGTTCAGACTTTCATCAAACACGACTTTGTTTATGATATATGGCATTTTTGTTTGTATATGTGTTTGTGTGTGCGTGTGTTTGTGTGTGCGTGTGTGTGTGTGTGTGTTTGTTGCGGGTGTTAAAACATTTCGCCTCAAAAATTTACCTGTAACTAAACAGAGTATGACTGAATAGTATTTGTAAAACGTTGTAAACCCTACATCTTCACCATCACCTTCATCATCATAGATTGTCACCTTTCATCCTCTTCGTCATTTTCATCATTCCATCCTCATCATTCTCATCATCGTCATCATCTTCCAAAAAAAACATCGTCCTTCTCATCATTCCATCCTCATCATTCTCATCATCCTCATCATTCTCATCACCCTGACACACAACAGCCTACATGATAACGAACGGGGCCATCACAACTCCACCAGCGTCTTCTTCTTCATCATCGACCATGATCAGACCAAACTATCCGCGGACTCAATATACAACACAGCAACAACAACAACAGCAACAACAGCAGTACCAACAACAACAACAACATTTGTATCCACTGCATGTTCAGCAGCAGCAGCAGCAACTTCATCCGCAAATCCAGCAGCCGTTTCTGCAATACCATCAACAACAGAATGTCGTTAACAATACGCCGAGAGTTAATGTCGGGATTATGCCTCAGCCTGGTTCGTTCGTTTGTTCTTTCTTTCGTTCGTTCTTTCGTTCGTTTGTTTGTTCGTTTGTTTGTTCTTTCGTTCGTTCGTTCGTTCGTTTGTTTTTATTTCTGTTTGTTTGTTTGTGTGTAGGTATATGATTATAAGTGTAACTTAACGAATTCGTTAATTTATGCAAATTCATGCAAAAGTTGTAAACTTTCGATCAGACCACCGGCCAATGGCAGCTGTCGAAGGCTTCGTTGAACACGCCCACACACCCCCGCTCATTAATTTGACAGGTTATTAGGATGACGATGATGAGGACAATATTCACCATAACTTTTTCTCCCTGTTTTTTCTTTTATTTTTTTCTTACTTTGCCTTTTTTGGTTTAATCATAACTAATTACCCATAATTCTACCGGAACTAGCTCGATCTCTGGCCAATCAGAACACGGGAACTCCTCCACCGCCTCCTACGTCATCAACAACGTCATCAAGACCCAAGGGTGCTGCCGGCAACGATCTGGTATCTGATACTGTTAGTTTATTATTATTATTGTTGTTGTTGTTATTATTGTTATTTTTGATGTTATCAATCAATCAATCTTCGTTTTGCGTCCAGAGACCCGGTTTCCCGAGGTAGGACATTGTTTTCTTTGCCATCAACTTTTTGCGCCAAATTAGACGATCAGTTGTATCCATTTCATTTAAATTTAGAGCTTTCATGTCTTGCTCGATTGTTTGCGACCAGGACTTCTTTGGACGGCCTTTGGGACGTGTGCCAGGTACTTCAACAACTGCAAGATAAGTTATGGCACTGTTTCCACTTCGTTTGACATGACCAAACCACCGCAGACGGTGTTGCCGGCATTCGTCCTTTATATCATCTAAACCAGCACGACGCAGGATTTCGGTAGATTTGATGTGGTCCTTCAGACTAATTCGTTGCATCCATCGGAGCATTTTCATGTCGGTTCGTTGAAGTTGTTGTTCCAGTTTGGTTGTCATTGGCCATGTTTCTGCACCATATAACAACACCGGACGTATCACAGATTTATAAAGTCTTGATCGTAGTGGTAGTGGGATGTCACGCCGCATCAATATAGAGGCAAGGAGATGCCATTTATTCCAGGCTGCACGTATGCGTGCTCGAACGGCAGCTTAAGCTGTTCCAGTACAATCCAGAACATCCCCTAGATATTGAAACGATGTGACTTTCTCTATTTTAATGGCTTCAAAAACAGTGCTATTTCGAATTTGTTGTTGTGGATTGATGCAAGCAGGACAAACAAAATTAGACATTTTAGATAAAAAAACAATTATTTTTGAACAACGTTTGTGACACCACTGGTTACACTGCTGACACTTGATTGAATTGTTACCTACACCAGCTTTACAAACTGAACAGGGCCATCGTCCAGTAGCTGTGGATTGGATGGGTTCACCAGTGTTCATTGCTTTGGTTTTGCTGATGTTGACTTTGAATCCATGATCGGCGAGTCTGGTGTTCCAATCTTCAAACATCTGTGCTGCATTCTTCTCAGACGTGGCTGTTAAAACGATATCATCAGCATATACTAGATTCCAAATGTCACCAGTGTGTATCGGTTTTATGATTTCTTCCATCACAGTTATAAATAATATTGGACTGAGAATCGAGCCTTGGTGAACTCCAACGCCGATGTCAAATGCATCTGTGTTTCCAACCGTTGTGCTGACAAGAGTCTTAGTATTCGTATACATTTCCATCACAAGTCGAGCAAGATATTCTGGAATGAGTTGTCGACGTAGACTCCACCTGATTGCTTCACGGGGAACCCGATCAAATGCTTTTTCAAGGTCTACAAAAATGTGTGATAGTTGTTGATGCTTTTCGAGGTACTTCTCTTGCAGTTGCCGAAGGATGTGAATTGCATCAATTGTTGATTTCCCTGCTGTGAAACCAAATTGATAATTTCCGATTGTGATGCACGACGTTAATATTCTTTCAATGATTTTCTCGACAATTTTCATGGAGTGTTCTAACAGACGTATACCCCGATATGATGAACAGTTCAATGGATCACCTTTGCCTTTGTATAGAGGAACTGTCATGCTATAGTTCCATTCAGTCGGCATTGAGCAATTTCTCCAGATTTCACGGCAAAGTTGTAGTAACGTTTGGATACCTACAGTACCAGATGCTTTGATAATGTCATTTGTGAGTCCAGAGGGCCCTGCTGCCTTTCCATCTTTCATAGCTTTCAGAGCTTCCATAAGCTCCTCTACAGTGATGTCTGTAATCGGACCTTCGATGGGTAGAGCGTCAAAATTAATTGGATTTGTTTCGTTTAACAGACGGTTGAAGTTTTGATGTTATAGTCAACATGATTTATGCCATTATTATTATCCTTGTTAATATGGTACGTATATATTAGCAGATTATATGTAATATCGATTGTTTCGTTCGTTCATTCATTCATTCATTCATTCATTCATTCATTCATTCATTCATTCATTCCTTTACAGAAATCCTTCACGACAGAAGACCTCTGTGCGGAAATGAATAACCTGGAAGGACTCATGAAAGATTTGAGTGCCATAACGCAGCAAGAGTTTCAACTGTAACCTGTCTACCTGTGTGCGTGTGCGTGTGTTTGTATGTGTGTGTGCGTGTGTTTGTATGTGTGTGTGCGTGTGTTTGTATGTGTGTGTGTGTGTGTGTTGTGTGTTTGTTTGTGTGTATGTGTGCTGAATATGTATTATACAATGTATATACATTATAACCCTGAACTGTCTCGTGTTATCATTTATCAACTCAATAAATGAATATTGATATCATATATATATATATATATATATATATATAATTGTGTGAGTGTGTGCGTGTGTGCGCGTCTGTGCATGATACCATAATATATATCAACTGTTCATTTTTTAAAGTTCTACATCGCGTTAATTTATTTTTAATTATTTGTTCAATTTTTCTCGTACTGAAGATTCGTTCGTTTTTTTGTTCATTCGTTCTATAAATCTAGTTTTCCATTCGTTCATTCATTCATTCATTCATTCATTAATTAATTAATTCATTCATTCATTCATTCATCCATTCATTCATCCATTCTTCTGTGTATTTTTTTATTTATACTACAATCAATGGCTCGTTCGTTTGTTCGTTCATTAATTTGTTCAGTTCTCTCGTTACGTTATTATTATTATTATTATTATTTATTTATTATTTATTGATTGATTAGTGCATTTTTTTTACATAAACGTGAATACTCATTTTATTATTATTATTATTATTATTAATATTATTATTATTATTGTTATTATAATTATTATTAATATTGTCATCATTATTATCATGTTGTAATTAAACATCGTACATAAACTCATATATAAGCTTTTATATAACGCATATAATTATATGGATCCGTATATATATGGCAAATATAAGCTTACAAAATGATTTAGCACGTATTATAATAGTTCACACACAACCTATAAAACTTGTTGAGGAGTTTCTAGCAAATTTATACCACATAAGTCTGGTAAAAAAAAACCATCGGCTTAAATTGTGTGTGTCTGTCTGCGTGTGTTTGTATATGTGTGTGTGTTTGTGTGTGTTTATGTGTGTGTGTTTGTATGTGTTTATGTGTGTGTGTTTATATGTGTGTGTGTGTGTGTGTCTGTGTGTGTAAATATCAATCTTTAACACACACACGCTGGATTAAATATACCAGGCCAAAATTCCAAAGAAATCGAACTATAGTATAATGATAACTGAACTGTACGTCAACACTCATGTATTATATATCAAGGACATCTGGATTTCTGTTACCAAATTACCATTCCATTCGTTATTACTGTTCATTTGTCCATTCATTCATTCCAAAATGTTATTAATAATAGCAACATTACAGCAATTAATTTTAATATATGTAATAACGCAAACATAATTAGCCCCACTGCTAATCATTATAATTATTGTTAGTGTAGGTACGACGGGGATGATGAGGATGATGAATTATGATGATAATTATGACTGATGATGAATTATGGTGATAGTTATGACTATGACGATGAATTATGATGATAGTTATAACGATAATGATGAATTATGATGATAATTATGGCAATGATGATGAATTTTAATGGTAATTTTGACGAGGATGAATTATAATGATAATTATGACTGATGAATTATGATGATGACGATGATAATGATTAATTATGGCAATGATGATGAATTATAATGACAATTATGACAATGACGATGAATTATAATGATAATTATGACTATGATGATGAATTATGATGATGACGACGACGATGATGAATAAAAACGTGGAATAATAATTTAAGCAAAAATATGATTAGAAATAATAATAATAATAATGAATTCCATAAATAAACTCATTGGAATCCCCCAAAATTAGTTTCTCAACATATTTTGGCGTGGGTTTTTCCCCGAACTACCGGGCGGATATGGATGAAGAGATGAACAAAAGCTGGAGAGATGAACTAATGAAGATTACATACTATTATCAGTTTATTATTTTTTGTTAGTTATAGTAGTAGTAGTGGTAGGAGTTGTAGTAGTGATGATAGTAGTAGTTGTAGTGATGATAGTAGTAGTAGTGATGATAGTAGTAGTAGTTACGCTATTTTTGACGATGGTGATGATGATAAGGTGCAGAATGATGATGACGACGACGAAGAAGAAAATGTGTTTTGGAAGATTGTCTGTTAACTGCCTATGTGTGACCAATTCTTTAGAAGCCTATAAGATCAAAAAGACGACGACGATGATGATGATGATGACGAAACGAACGACGATGATGATGATGACTATGATGATGACTATCAATGAGATACAATAGTACCTATGATGATGATGATGGCTAGAAAAATGACGAGTATGATAGCGGTGATTATATGTTTGTTAAAACGCCGGGCTGAAATGTGGTATTGATAATGATGGGGATGATAATGATGATGGTGATGATGATGATGATGATGAGGACGGCGAAGATTTTAAGACTGGTAACCAAATAAAAAAGAAGCAGACATACAAAAGTTATACCGAAAGAAATTCTTCTTTTAAAACGATCAAAGCAGTACCAATCGCAGAGCTATGTTAAAACTTTAAAAATAAACATGCACACATAAACACATACTTTCTCTTTCTCTCTCTCTCTCTCTCTCTCTCTCTCTCTCTCTCTCTCCTCTCTCTCTCTTTCACACACACACACATACAAAGAATACTAGATTAAATGTAACACATTACATGAAAAACACACACACATTCATATGCATTTACTAGATCAATCACTTGCACTATGTTCATCCGCCGCAAACACACGCACACATTTTTTACACACACACACACACACACATTTTTTACACACACACACACATTTTTTACACACACACACACACACACACATTTTTTACACACACACTCACAGAGTACTAGATTAAATAAAATAATATAACACACTACATGAAAAAACACACACACACACACACATTCATATACATTTACTAGATCACTTGCCACTGAATTCATCGGCCCGCAAACACAAACACACGCACGCACACACACACACACACACACACACGAAACCATGTGATTAATAACAATAATAAAAAGAATAATATCAACAACAATAATAACTCTTTGTTGTTGTTGTTGTTGTTGTTATTTGTTGTTACGACGGAAACACCATCCTTGCAATTATCATTTGGAATTCCATTTCAATTACTAACAAAAGCCTGCCCTCTCAAGTCTCAAATGATCATTTAGTCCGTAATGAGTAATTTGTTGTAAAAAAATTTCTCTTTTTTTTCCGCTTCTCTTACTTTCTTCCTTCTCTTTCTCTCTGTATTCTTTTATTATATTTTTTTCTTTCTCTCTGTATTCTTTTATTATATCTTTTTCTTTCTCTCTCTCGCCCTGTCTCTTTTTATCTTTTATCTTTTTCTCTCTCTCTTTCTTTCTCTTTCTTTCTCTTCCCCCCCTCTCTCTCTTTCTCTCACTTTTTCTGCCTGTCTTTTTCTTTTAATTTTTTCTCTTTTTTTTCTCTGATTCTTACTTTGCCTTTTTTGGTTTTCTCATTGAAAAGTCAGATCCCGACAAACACAGAGGGTGCTAAAACATACAGGACATAATTCAAAAGACAAAGTTTCTTACTCTCTCTCTCTCTCTCTCTCTCCCTCTTTCTCTCTCTCTTTCTTCCTTTCTTTCTCTCATCATTAACTTTCACGCATTCTCTTTCTCTCTCTCTCCTGCAAAAATACGAAAGCAAAAATTTAGCCTAATTAACATAATTGGTATACATCCTACCTAGTTAATTGTAAACGACTGAAAACCCATGCTAATGATCGGGGTATTACCAGTGTAACACGATAAACATTAAAACGTACTCTCTCTATCTCTCTTTCACTCTATCTTTCCCTCTCTCTCTCTCTCCCTCTCTCTCTCTCTCTCTCTCTCTCTTTCTCTCTCTCTCTCTCTCTCTCTAGTAGTTAACCAATTTCTTGAACTGTATATAAAGACCATCTGCAAGTTGTAAATTTTAATGAATTTGCTACTGAGTGAGTTTGAGGGCCGTTGTAATCAATTACTTAGTAAAGACATTTTTATATTTTTGGAAGGAAAGGGAGAAAGAAAAGGTTTCATTATTATTATTGTTATTTTATTATTATTTATATTATTATTTATTTAATATTATTATTTATTATATTTTTACTTTATATTTAAATGCTACCAACAGAAACAGCAGGAAAATAGCGGGAAAAAACAGCAACAACGACAGCAAAAGCAATCATCTTCAATTGAAAACAAACAAACAAACAAACAAACGTACCTATATACAAACAAACAAACATATATACAAACAAACATACAAACATATATACAATGTTTCACTATGCCGACTACATCATTTTTCTTCTTTTCCTTATCGTGTCTCTTGCCATTGGTCTATATCACGCTTACAAAAGTAGAAAAAACAAATCGGCAGACGAGTTTTTGATGGGAAACCGGAAATTGCACCTATTTCCGGTTTCCGTTTCAATTACGCTGTCGTTCATTAGCGCTGTTCTTGTTTTAGGTAGGTTTTGGTGTGTTTGTATGCGCGTGTTTGTGTGTTTGTTTGTATGTTTTGGTGTGTTTGTGTGGTATGTTTGTTTGTATGTTTGTTTGTGTGTTTTTGATTTGTGTGTTCATCAATTTGCTGTTTGTTAAGCTTAGAAGTTTGCACATGTATTTGTACCAAGATATGTGTTTTGGCGTTCGATTGTTATAAAATTCGTCATCAGCATCACCACTACACTTTCATCATCATCATCATCGTCATCAACATCATCACCACCACCACCACACCATCTTCGTCATCATCATCATCATCATCACCATCATCATCACCATCATCATCACGTGACCAGGTCAGCCAGCGGAAGTACACACGCGGGGCACGCAGTTCGCCATGGTCATTTGCGGTATCTGGATCGGTAGCATCATCTCAGCCATCGTCATCGTCCCCCTCTTCTATAACCTCAGGGTCACGAGTTCATACGAGGTGATGATGATGATGGTGGTGGTGGCTATGATAACGATGAGGATTGAAAAATTGGTGATGGTAAATAAGTAATGAAGAGAGAGAGAAAGAGAGAGAGAGGGAGAGGGAGAGAGAGAGAAAGAGAGAGAGAAAGAGAGGAAAAAAGAGAAAGAACAAAAGTGCTACAATATTTTTGTAATTTTCTATTGTCCATTTGTCAATAATAATAATAATAATATTAATAATAATAATAATAATAAGCTGTTATTATTATTATTGTTATTGTTATTATTTCTAGTACTTGGAGAAAAGATTTAAGTCTGAAGGAGTCAAGCTGGTCGGATCGATCACTATGATTGTATACATGGTATGTATGCGTGTTGTTTGTATGTTTGTTTGTATATATGTACATACGTATGTATGTATGTATGTATGTATGTATGTATGTATGTATGTATGTTTGTATGTATGTATGTATGTATGTATGTATGTATGTATGTATGTATGTATGTATGTATGTATGTATGTATGTATGTATGTATGTATGTATGTATCTTTATACGTTTTGACCGTTCTTTTGTATATTCATTAATTAATCCAACAGTCGTGCAATCTTTCACACATTTATACACTCACTTGTTAATTCATTCATTCATTCATCCATTCAATCATCCATCCATTCATTCATTTATTCGTTCATCCATCAATCACCAAAGACAGTTTATTTGGGGGTGGTCCTCTACGGGCCGTCAGTAGCCCTAGAGGGGGTGACCAACATTCCAATGTGGGTCTTCATTGTCTTGTCCTCCGTTATAGCTACCGTGTATACTACACTCGTTAGTATTAAAGGGTGAATGAATGAATGAATGAATGAATGAGTGAATGAATGAATGATTGAATGAATGAATGAATGAATGAATGAATGAATGATTACATGAATACATGAATGAATACATGAATGAATACATGAATGAATGAATAAATGAATGAAGGAATGAAGGATTGAATAAGAAAAATAATATTTTATCTTTAGGGTGGAATGAAGGCCGTTATATGGACGGATGTTTTCCAGGGACTGTGTCTTATTACCGGAATGGTTGCCATTGTTATTGTGGTTAGTTGGTTGGTTGGTTGATTGGTTGGTTAATTGGATTGGTTGGTTGTTGGTTGGTTTTTAAATTGATTGATTGGTTGATTGGTTTGTTGGCTGGTTGATTGATTGATTGAATAATTAGTTTCTAATTTATTCATTCATCTGGTGTTCAGTACTTCTTTCATTTATCTATTCATTCATTTACTTACTCTTTTTTACATTAATTCATTAATTCACTCATTTATCTACTCATTCATCTACTCATTCATTCACTCACTCCTTCCTTCCGAGCAGGGCAGTATTGTAACTGGTGGACCGTCGGTAATATGGCAACGAAACATCGCAATGAACAGATTAGAGCTCTTTAAGTATGAATAATTAATAATAATTATATTAATAATAAAAATAATTATAATTATAATAATGATGATGATGACGACGATGATTATGGAGTTGATAGCCTTAAAAACACTTAACAATCCAACCAACCTTCTCGACCAATCACAACACAGCATGGATCCTAACCCCGCCCTACGCACGACCTTCTGGTCTGCCTTCATAAATGGTATCTTCGTCTCCTTTTACAACTTCGGCATCGGTCAGACCACGGTCCAGAGGTACTGTGGATTGGATAGTCTGGCGAAAGCAAGATGGTTCGTCCTATGATTATTATTATTATTATTATTATTATTATTATTATTATTATTATTAGTAGTAGTAGTAGTAGTAGTAGTCACCGTAGAAGTAGTAGTTGTAGTAGCATTCAATAATAATAATTATAATTATGATTATAAAATTACTTAAAAAATTATAGGTCACTTATAATTAACGCCATCCTGATGACGTTGATACTGGGCATCGTGACAGCCGTCGGCATGGTCGTCTTCGCTTACTATGACGTCATCGGCTGTGACCCAATCAGAGCCAAGCTCATAACCACGCCCAATCAGGTACTGATAATGATGATCAGGATGGTAATGATGATGATGATGACGATGATGACGACGATGATGATAATAATGGTGGATGAAACGAAATGAAACAAAACGAAATGAAATGTGAATGATGATAATCACGAGATGAAATCATCATCATCATCATCATTCTAATTGTCATCATTGCTATCATGACCACCACCATCATCATCATCATCAGTTGTTGCCCCACTTTATAATGGACGTCCTGAATTATCCAGGGTTTCCCGGGCTATTTATATCCGTCCTATACGGCGGAGCGCTGAGGTTGGTGATGATGATGATGACGATGGTGATGACGATGATGATAACGACGATGACGATGATGACGACAATGATAACAATGATAAGGATGATGATGATGATGATGATGGTTGGCTGAATGGTTTGTTGGTGGGTTAGTTGGTTGGGTGGTTGATTGGTCGGTCGGTTGGTAGGTGGCTGGTTAGTTGGTTGAATGGCTGGCTGGTTTGTTGATGATGATGATAACAATGATGATAACAATGATGATGATGATGATGATGATAGTACCACTTTCTTTTTCTGCCAAAATGCACCAGCACAGTCTCGAGTTCGCTCAACTCACTGGCAGCCGTTTGCTACAACGACCTGCTCAAGAAGTTCCTACAACGGCGCAACTTCAGTGATAGCCGGAAGACACTCGCCACCAAAATTCTGGGTCGGTAGTCACGATGATGATGATGATGGTGACGATGATGATGGCGCGGACGATGATGATTATGATGACGACTATGATCGTGATGATGATGATGGTGGTGACGACGATAATGATGATGACGATGATGAAGATGATGTTGATGGGGATGATGATGATGATGTTGGTGATGATGATGACAATGACGATGATGAAATTTTATTAAATATTTTCCATCAAACAGTATTCTTCTTCGGCATACTGACCATCGGAATGGCCTTTGTGGCCAGTTACATGGGAGGTCACGTGCTCCAGGTAAGGTCAAGGTCACTTTTTATTATTGTTATCATTATCATTTGTTATTATTGTTGTTGTTATTATTATTATTATTATTATTATTATTATTATTATTGCGTTTTCTCTTCGGCGTCAGCTCCTACTACTACTTCTGTCGCTGCTAATACTACTACTACTACTACTGCAACTGATGATGATGATAATGATAATAATAATAATAATAATAATATTATTATTATTATTGAACAGGCGGTCAATTCAGTGATGGGGACATTCATTGGCCCCTGCATAGCCATATACTTTTTAGGATTTTTCTTCAAATGCTCAACTGCAAAGGTGCTACTGATGATGATGATGACGATGTAGTTGGTGATGGTGATGGTAGTAGTGATGATAGTGGTAATGATGGTTGTGGTGGTGATGATGATTTGTGTAGTGGTGATGATGATGATGACGGATCGATAGAAAATAAGTGTTTTTCCTCCGACAATTATTTATACATTTTTTTTTAACCGAACATAATTACAACAATAACAATAACAACAAAAACAGCAAAAACAACAACAATAATAACGACAACAACAACAACAACACCTATAGGGAGCTGTGATTGGCTGCACGGTGGGGACCATATTAACGGCATGGGTTGCCATTGGTTCAATAGTTACTAAACAACACAGCGTTACTTTGCCGACAAATGTTGATTTTTGCAACAAAACGTTTTACAACAACAGCAACAACAACAACATCACTGATCATTTTTTTAGTGTAACCACATCAACTGTATTTGGCGATTTTGGTCATTTTTATAATACTACAACTGCAGCTAGTAATAGTAATAATAGTAGCAATAACGATGGTTATGGCTATAGTATTAGTAGTAGTAGTTACTTTGAAGCAGCAGCAGCAGCAACGACAGCAGCTACAGCGAAAGCAGCTAGTAGTAGTAGTAGTAGTAGTGATCATGGTTATACAATTTTGACAATGTTATCTGATATGACTTCACCATCATCTTCATCATCGTCGTTATCATCAACAACAATGAGTATTTCTAAAGCCGATGATAACAATAACAAAAGGTAAGTAACGCAAATACATACATACTACTACTAATACTACTACTACTACTACTACTACTACTACTACTACTACTACTACTACTACTACCACTACTACTACTACTACTACCACTACTACTACTACTACTACTACCCCTACTACTACTACTACTACTGCTACTACTACTACTACTGCTACCACTACTTCTTTTAATACAATAATAGTAATAATATTAATAATTGGTATCATTGAAAATAATAATATTACCATCATCACTATCATCATCATTACCATCATCAACCCAACAGCTTCCTCTCCCTCATCTACTCACTATCTTACCTCCACTACCCTCTCCTCGGCTTCACTATCACCATGATTGTCGGACTGATAGCCAGCTACCTAACAAGTGAGTCCTACTTAATTAACTAACTAATTAACAATCAATTAACTAATCAGTAATTAATTAACTAATTAGTAATAGTATTCTGTAATGTTATTACTTTTATGTACACTAATATTAGTAGAAGTAGAAATAATAAGCAGCAACAGCAAGAGTAGTATGTGGTAGCTGTAGTAGTAGCTGCAACAACAGCAAGAGTAGTAGTAGTAGTAGTAGTAGTAGTAGTAGTAGTAGTAGTAGTAGTAGTAGTAGTAGTAGTAGTAGTAGTAGCGGTGGTGGTGGTATTAGCAGCCATTTTGATGATTTTGAACTTCATTACAACATTACAACAATTCTTTCTAATTCTCTTCTTTCTCTCTCTCACAGCCGCTTGGTCAACAACAAACAGCAACAAAGGTGATGATAACGATGTCGTTGGCGGTGTTGATAACGATGTCCTTGGCGATGTTGATGATGATTTGGTTGTTGTCTGTTGTCAGCCGAGCTTGGCCCATAAGTTGAAGGAAGTTTTTAGTAAAAAGAAGCGCTGCATAAATAATAACAAAAACGTCAACAGAATTTATATAATTGGTAACAACAACAACAATAATGAGAATAATAATAATAAAAACAACAAAATCAACCCTGACAAGCCTCTAGAACTTGTCTCTATGAAAACGGTTATAAGACAATTAAGTTTATTTTGTATTTGCTTGTTTGTTTGTCTGTTTGTATATTTGTTTGTTTGTCTGTTTGTATATTTGTTTGTTTGTTTGTTTGTCTGTCTGTTTGTTTGTTTTAATTTTAATTGAATTATTTATTTTTTTACAGATTGACAAATCGATGTATTGATAATGTGCCACTAACGTAATGCATTTTTTATAAAAAATTTTCTCTCTCTCTACTTCTTCATTCTCTCTACTCTTTTTTCATTCATTTCCTGTCTGTTTGACTGCATCTGTCTGTCTATATTTGTCTGTCTGTCTATATCTCTCTGTCGCCTCCTCTATCTCTCCTATACTTTTTCTGTCTGTCTATCAATCGTTATCTTTTTTACTCACTTTCTCTCTCTCTCTTTCTCTCTCTCTCTCTTGCTTCGTATCTCTATTTTTTTCTATGAATATCTATACACATGAATTCTCTCTCTCTCTCTCTCTCTCTCTCTCTTTTTCTTTCCCTCCCTTTCTCTCCGTCTCTTTCTCTTACTATAAATAGATATTCTTTGTACATATTGTACAGTTTGTATGATAGCAATCGTTGAAGAATAAACATTCCGCTTGTAATTAGATGCTTGTTGGAAATAAACTTTAAAAAAATAATACGTCGTTTGTTGTTGTTTGAATAATAAAAAAATTTTTGTTGTTCTTTTTTCTTCTTGTTCTTTTTCTTCTTGTTCTTCTTGTTCTTCTTCTTCCTCTTGTTCTTCTTCTTGTTCTTCTTCTTCTTGTTCTTCTTCTTGTTCTTTTTCTTCTTCTTATTATTGTTATAAGAATATTAATTAATCAATCAATCAATCGACCGATCGATCAATCTGTCAATATATTTCTAAACGCCATTTCCGCGATGTTCAACAGCGCTCCTCAATGAATTTTGCAAGCAGGTGGGTCTTGAGATGCGCTCTGATGTTCGCAAGTGACGGAGAAGTAGTCAGAGAAGAAGGTAGAGAGTTCCAGAGAAAAGGGTCAGAAAAAGCAAATGCAGATTTAGCGATAGAATTATAGCGAGGCATTATATTAACGATGAAACTATGAATAACCATTGATAAACATAAAGAGAAAGTGAGAGAGAGAAAGAGTAAAAAAAAGTAAGAGTAAAAAAGAAATAATTCATAGGCTGAATACGTACAAAATATCCACCAAATGGCGAACGACAAGATGAACTGAACCAACCATCCCAAACTACTTCGACTGTTTCGATCACATAAAATGATAAGTGTCGCTGTCAGTATAAGCCATCGCTTTTTAACTTTAAATTTTGAACGAGCTGTGTATGTGTTGTGTGTTAGTGTGTGTGTGTACGTGTGTGTGTGGCGTGTGTATGTGTGTGTATACATACAAACAAACATATGTATATAGTTTGAATGTATATTATCTATATACAGATGTATTTCTAGACTAGCGCTATAGTGGGAGCTGATGAATCGTCATTGTTTGTTTTTCTATTTTATTACGGGTTTTCCCTTTTTTATCGTTTAATTGTTTACAATTACTAGTTATATCAATAAATAAAGAAAAATAAATAAATATAAATAAAAATAAATAAATAAAAATAAAAATAAATAAATATATAAATATATATATATATATATATATATATATATATATATACATATATTTAAATGATTTGTTTGAAATTCCAGTTTATAACATTAATAATGATAATAATAGAAGCAACAGCCCAACAATAATAATAATAACAGCAAAAAACAATAATAATAAAATTTACCTAAATTAATAATAATAATAATAATAATAATAATACAGGACTAAGACTTCGCTTATCAATGCTTAAACACCTTTCGGCGCTATTTTTATTGTTAATATTAATTCTATATATTGTTATCATTGTTATTATTATTATTATTATTATTATTATTAATATTATTATTATTAGAATAGGTTCTCCGGTTGGTATAGTGGGGCAAGCATCAAATGCATCGATGTATCCAGAGCTCCAAGGGCAGAGGTGGGATGCTATATATCCAGGTTTGTCATAAAACTGTTATGTCTGTCTATCTCTTCATTCATTTTTTTGTTCGTTCGTTCATTCATTTATTCATTCATTCGTTGATTCTTTCGTTCGTTCGGTCATTCATTCATAGGTTGCTACGTGCATCATATGATCGACACTTTTTCACTAATTGAAGAGTTGAAAATGTTCATAAAAGATCAGCAATATAACGTTCGTTCGTTTATTAATTCGTTCATTCATTAATTCCTCCATGCATCCATTCAAACATACATTCATCCCTTCATACATTCATACATTCATTCATTCATTCATTCATTCATTCATTCATTCATTCATTCATTCATTCATTCATTCATTCATTCATTCATTCATTCATTCATTCATTCATTCATTCATTCATTCATTCATTCATTCATTCATTCATTCATTCATTCATTCATTCATTCATTCATTCATTCATTCATTCATTCATTCATTCATTCATTCATTCATTCATTCATTCATTCATTCATTCATTCATTCATTCATTCATTCATTCATTCATTCATTCATTCATTCATTCATTCATTCATTCATTCATTCATTCATTCATTCATTCATTCATTCATTCATTCATTCATTCATTCATTCATTCATTCATTCATTCATTCATTCATTCATTCATTCATTCATTCATTCATTCATTCATTCATTCATTCATTCATTCATTCATTCATTCATTCATTCATTCATTCATTCATTCATTCATTCATTCATTCATTCATTCATTCATTCATTCATTCATTCATTCATTCATTCATTCATTCATTCATTCATTCATTCATTCATTCATTCATTCATTTGCCAATAAAAATGACTACTGACCAATTGAAATTAAAATTCTTTAAAACGAAGACAAAACTCTATCAAGTGTATATGAATGGCGGGGAAGAAAATGTCACCATAGACATTGGATACTCTGCATACGTCAAATCCATTTTTATAGCGCTTAATTTTGATTCATATCCAGATAAAGACTCATTCATGGTTTACCGTAAGTTGTTGATATTGTTATTGATGATGTTGTTGTTGATGTTGTTGTTGATGTTGTTGTTGTTGTTGTTGTTGTATATTATGCGCATCATCAACATCATCACCAGCAAAATCATCATCATCAACATAAAAAAGGATAGCAATAATATCCGAGCCTTCACTATTACCATCACCCTCATCCTCACCATCATCACCATCACCATCATCATCGTCATCATCATCTTTTTTATCATCACCATCTTCATAATCATCATCGTTGTCATCATCATCATCAGATGGAGGAGTATTTAACATAACAGATGACATGACTAGACTAGTAGGAGATAAAAGTTAGTCATTTACTCATCACATATCTCTCTTTCTCTCTCTCTCTTTTTCCCTCTTTCTCTTTTTTTCTCTCTCTTTCTCTCTCTCTCTCTCTTTCCCTCTTTCTAACTCTCATTTCAAGTCCGCAGTAAAAATTATTGCTCAGCTTTTTCAAATCTAAATTATATATGACTTTTGATTGGCATTAGCATAACATGACAAAAGGTATAGTATTGTGACGTTTTAAATAAACTCTTCTCAGAAATATTAGACGGAATAAAAGCGGTGCTTATAAGCCCACAGTTGAAAGTATTCAATTTCATGAAAATAGCCCCGCCGAAAACCACTATCACATTCTGCTTAAACGATATGCCAAAAACTTTTTGCGTGTTGGGCCAGGCAAGTTTGCCCTTCAAGGTCTATCTTTTCAAGAGAGGAGTGCATGTGCCCTTTGAAACTGTCGAAATAGGTTGGCTGGTTGGTTGGTGGGTTGGTCGGTTAGTTGGCTGGTTGGTTAATTGGTTGGATGGTTGGTTGATTGATTTATTGTCTGATATGCTTTTGTTAACTCATTAAATTGATTTGCAGAGTTAATAAATTTATTCAAACACCCACTCAATCATTCGGCCAACCAACCAACCAACCAACCAACCAACCAATAAAAAACCAATCAATCAACCAATCCTTCAAAAACCAATCAGTTAACCGATCAACCAACCAACCAATCAGATACCGTGTACCAGTACCAAGTTCACGTACACAGTACGATGGTAAAGGACGCCACCATTAAATGCGAAACACACGATGGGAAGGAAGCTACTAAAGTTCAAATTCTCGATCAAAACCGCGTTATATTCAGTGCACATGATCCCGGTGAGAATGAAGAGCAAACTATTCAATTTTTAAATTTTACGCCATTTGCTTTCTTAAAATTTTGGTAATTCTATTATAATTAGCCAATCAACCAATCGGCCAACCAACCAACCAATCGGCCAACCAACCAACCAACCAACCAACCAACCCGCCATCCAACCAACCAACCAACCAACCAACCAACCAACCAACCAACCAACCAGCCATCCAACCAACCAACCAACCAAACCAACCAACCAACCAGCCAACACACAAGTTTTGTACGGATATTTTTGCTTCTTCGTATGCTTCGGACAGTATGAATGCGGTCGGGTCTATCATGATCACATCATAGTCCCGATACTCATGGAAATATTCTTCGTCCAATTTCCGAATCCCATTATAACTCCGAAAACTGAAGACCAGAAGATAATAATAAAGTTTTACTGTAAGTTTACAGAGCATGAATGCCATTGGTCCAGCCTCGTTGAATATCTCTGGACGGATTATTTCTTTCAAGATGCCAGTGAACAGATGATGTTAGTGGGGAGGAGAGGAAGTTATGCCTGTCTGTTTGTTCGTTCGTTCGTTCGTTTGTTTGTATGTATGTATGTATGATTGTATGTATGATAGTATTTATGCATGTATGTTTGTATATTTGTTTGTTTGTTTGATTGTTTGTATGTTTGTACGATCATTTGTTCGTTCGTTCGTTTGTTTCTGTCTTTGTGTATATGAGTAAACCTATTATCATAATCGTAACTCCCAAACATTTATGACGTCATCTCTAGCAACCATCTCTCCCACATCCAAAACATACTCCTCATCATCATCATCCTTAACACCACCACCACCATCAACATCAACATCAAATCATCATCATCATCACGACAGCCGCGATGAGCTCATATCAAAATGCCACACAGCCAGAAATGTAAAGACACTAATCACCTACATCCATGAGATGAACTTCTGCATTGATTTCACCCCACTGAATATCTCAACGAAGGATAGGGTTGTCAGGTTGGACCTTCAATTCGACGCTGACAACATGTACTCGACTCTTCTCGTCTTAACTTCGGTATCTATACTCACCCCTCCAAACACACACACATACACACACACACACGCACG